AAAAAAAAGCAGTGAATATAATGCAAAAGTACTCTTTATGTGTTCGAGATTGTTTGTGTTCAACCAATAAAAAGTGAAAAATAGTGATCATTTTTATGATTAAAGATAAATTTTTTATGTAATGTCTTTTTCAATTGTATCAGATTACATAGTACAATAACGCATATCGCATGTTGGTGGTGGAGGAAGATAATATACGTAATATCCACCGGCACAATATGTTACTGATATTGGACTCGAATAATAACATGTATTACCACTATAATTGTAACAAACAGTACCTGATATTGTACTGCCAGCTGTAGATGGATACGTTCCACCATACCAACCGCTGGCAGCTGAAGCACACAAACCTGGTGATACAGCATAATTTGCAAGCCTTGTCCCACTTGCACCAGAAAAGCGATACCATCCTGCTGTTGCTATTGCATCATGAGCATCACATCCATAACCTACACCTGAAGTATCATAAACATTTCTTGCGCCATTAGTTATCATTGTATAACTTGAACATTGAGGTGGCACAGTAGTTGCTGTTGTAGTTGTCGTAGTGGTTGTTTTTGTTGTTGTCGTAGTTGTTGTAGTGGTTGTTTTTGTTGTTGTTGATGTTGTCGTAGTGGTTGTTGTAGTTGTTGTTGATGTTGTAGTTGTTGTCGTAGTGGTTGATGTTGTTGTAGATGATGTTGTTGTGGTTGTAGTTGATGTTGTTGTAGTAGTTGTTGTGGTTGTGGATGTTGTTGTAGTTGTCGTCGTCGCTAAAACAATCAAGACTGTCTGGTTCAACAATTAGAAAACAGTATACTTACAAGTTGTTGTAGTGCTAGTCGTAGCTAGAAATTAAAAAAATTACAAGTTTTATTTTTGGTAATATGTTTGGAGTATATCGAAATAATGATCTACTGAAATATTATGAGATATATATACGTATGATCCTTGGCTTAATTACTTCATTTTCTACAAAAACTAGTCATTCAATACAGCAAGCAATATTTTATATATAATGACTTTTTTTGTCGAAAGACTACAGATTCTTTTTCTTTTCTTTTCTTTTCTCCGTCTCTATCATTATTGTAAAAGAAAAGAACGATTTAATAATACAAACATTTTTTCTCAATTTGCTACTTTGTTAAAAGAAAAAGAAAATCTATAAAATATTAGTATACTTCGTACCTCTAAATTTGCTTTCTTGAAAATCGTAGACTACTGCATTGATAGAACTGATAAGATTGACTTGTGCTAGTGGTGCACTGAATAATAGACATTGAGGAACAGCAGAACTATCATATACAGCAGTATTACAATCAGGATATTCATATGCACATTGAGCAGCACACAGCATTTTATGTTTGATAATTAATTGGGCAAGTGGAGGATCAGTTGGACTGTACGTCATGTGATTATAAATATCACCTTTCATCGCAAATGATACATTAAACACACAAATACTGATGAAATGCCAAATCCAAAACTGAAGAACGTATGCCATCTATATCACACAGTTGTTATTTATATATCTATAATTAAACAATAAGATGAACCCAGTAAATAAGGTTCTATTTGGATATATATTAGTACAACTAATAACTATTGAAAAAAACAGTACTTTCCTTCTTTTGCATTCCCAACAGAATATATTAAATAAAATTAGTAGTATGCAACTGACGACAGGTACGCGCTACAACTAATATATTTTTCTTAGTTACAAACAAAAATATTCTAAATGAATATACAAAAAAAGAAAAAGAAACACTTTAGTAATAAGTTTCTAGTTAACAATTAATCACATAAATAAAAAGTACTTTTGATTAGAAAATGATTATATTTTTGGTAAAACTACTGTTATTGAGATTATCTCAAACTGTTTCAAAAGTAATTACTAAAACATGTATGTTTCATTCAAGCATTTAATCAATAAATGAAGTAATGATCAATTGCGAAGACTAAATCAAAACATTCAATCATATCGATAATAATTACGAGCAATTAAATAATTATTCTTCGAATTTCTGTTACTATATACATTGTAAAATTAAAAGAGGTTTTACTGTATATTCAAACTAAAATAACAAAAGTATGGCGCGTGTTTTTCTCTCTGCTGTTATGATCAAACATGTGTTAAAACTACAGTAATTACCTTAACAAGTTGTATTCAACGTGTCTATGATAAGAAATTGAAATAATTGTGAAACTTATATTTACATATTAATTCTATATATTGTCAAATATTTTATATCGAATGATTCTAACTTAACAAAATAACTTCTCTAGTTAATTAATATATCTTCTTCGATCCTAGATGCATTTATCAGCAGAAGAAAAGAAAGAATAAGTCAACAACGATAAGTTATTATTCTTTAAAATAATATAAGTAATGGAGAATGTGAGATGTTAAGTAATCATTTAAATGATGAAGCAAACAGGCATATTTTATTATTCATAGAAATAATTTATTATTAACTATCCTGTGTTTCATTCTTTTTCTTTAATATACAGCCAAACATCATTACTTCTATTTAATAAAAATACGAGTGAGATCAGATAATTTTCGTCCAAAATACGTAATGTTTATAGAAAAAAAAGTAATGAATTCAATCAGATTCCTAAACTCATTCTCAAATCATCGATTGACTACAGAAACTAGGATACTGCTGATACCAACTGAAAAATAATTTATTATATATCATCTCGATATTAATACTTTTCGGAGCCGTAAACAATAGATCGTTTGATAATATCAATTATTCTTTAAAAAGTAATATGTGTATTATTTTCGCTAGCATTTTATGATTCAAAATAGTTTTTATTTTAACCATAATCTTACTTTTCTTATTCTATTAGATCCTCTCTATAACTATATAATTTTTAGAAAGCATTTTCTCAAACTGATTGTTCATAGTCTAGAAATAGTTAAACAAATCAAATATTTTTGAAATCAACGATCGTTAAAACTTTCGAGAGAATTCAGAGAACATTTTTAACAATTTATGATGAATGAACGATAGCGAAAATCTCTTAATAGAAGGCCTGAGAAGATGTTTGTTCGCTTACAGCTTTCCATCTTTTGCCTAAATATTTTCCTTTTATCTGTTTCCATTGAAAACTCAAAATGAAGTATTTCTAAGACTGGTTCATTAGTGTTCTTTTAGTCGAGCAACAGGCTTGCCTCATATAACAAAAGTAAAAATGATCACATGAAATATTTCTTCTGAATGAAACGTGTCACACAGATGTAAGAACAATAATCATTCATTACTTCTACAATGACTCAAGTTTTTTATGAATTTGAGTATTACAGTTTCTCACTTCCTTTTCTTACATTTTATGTAACACACATGGCATCTTATAAACAGATGATGGTGCATTGCATGTTTACATTCGCCCAAAAGGATCGTACTAACTAAATATATAGTTGTGAATGCCTACAATATTTCTTATTTGATTTACTTGACAGTTATGACGTTTTATAGAGTAAATAATAAATTCGATTTTCCAGAAGAGTATAAATAGTGCTTTCTAGCTTGTTTTTCGTATCAGCACACCATTAGATTAGGTAATTTTCTATGTCTTGGTGTTCATTAACGAACTTATTTTTTAAAATCATGATTTCTAGAACATCATTATTGATTCAACCTTTTGATGAAATATTTCTCTCATTAAATTCTAGTCGAAGCAAATGTTTATATAGTAGAAAGAGTAAGTCATCAGATGGTATTCGATGCGTTCATGAAAGAAGTAATAGGCTACCTATTAGAAAAAAAACTTTTCTCATTCTATTAACAACGTAATTGTCTAGTTAAAGCGAAGATGATGTTAGTATAAACCAAGCACACCTTATTCTGCAAACAATAGAAAAAAAGTATTCTTTCCTGTTCATGACTCATTATTATGAAAAGAAAAAACCCAGTTTTACCATAATAATATAAAAACATCATATATATTCGTCGCAAAAACTCTTTTACTACAAGTTTCTTGAAAAGATGGCATCTGCTTCGACTGAGCGAAGAATCAAAAGATTTTTGTTTATTGGACCAACTGGTGTTGGTAAATCGACATTAATTAACATCTTATTCAATAATGATGTTAAGAAAGCATCTTTATCAAAGCCAGCAGGAACATCTGATGGTTCTGCTGGATCGACAGCGTGTTTTACAACATATTATAATTTTCCTGATTATGCTTACACAGACACAATTGGTTTTGGAGATAATAGATTCGATAAGGAACAACTTTTGTCAATATTAAAAGCTACTATTAAAAATTCTATGGTTGGATATAATAGAATTTATTTATGTATCAGTTATGGTCGAATTTCAATTGATATTCGATATTATATTGAATTATTAACAGTCATATTTGGAAAGAAAATATTAAAATGGTGCACAATTGTTTTTACGCATTGTCTTGATCAAACAATGACGAAAGAGAAATATATTGAATCGAATAAGAATGATACAGACATAATTGATATTATTAATTCAGCGCAAAACGTCATTTTTGGTGACAATATGACTGATAATGAAATAGATCATGTTCTGATTACGAGAAGACAACGTTTATTAGATAATTTACATCAAGATATTCAAAGCTCAAATAACGATTATTATTCTCCACAACCGGAAAGTTTGCTTGAATGGATCAATGCAATTTATAATATGCTTACATTCAGATATGCGAAGAAATTTAAAACAGGTTTCGAGGAAATTCAAAAGATATCACTCACGGTAGTAAATTTGATGATGCATCAAAATTTTGCAAATTACTATGGTGAATGTCCGATTTGTTTAGCTGATATGTGGAATACTGACAGTGTCTTCACAAAATGTCATCATATTTTCCATGAAAAATGTATAAATAAATGGCTCAATGATGGAGTCAGCAACTGTCCGAAATGTCGTGCTACTGTAGATAGAAGAAATTCATTTTTAACATCACTGTTTTTCGATTGGGAATGTATTGAGAAAAATGAAATAAATTAAGACTTTTATTGTGCAAGAACATATTCTGAAAAATTCGATAAGGGGTGGGTGTGAGATATAATACATTTCCAGATACACTCATACCCATCCGATGTAAATTTCTGAAAAGAACTATAAAATTTTGATGCTTTTTTGCACTATTGTTGAGTAAAGAAAAGCATTGTTTATTATCGTAAAACAGAAAGAGAGAATGCATATTTTTTTAAATTTCTTTTTATGTAACATTATCTCGGATGTATATATGAAGGTTTGTTCTTATCTCTTGCAAGCAGACAACGAATTCTTTTAAAGTGAATAATTTTATTATCAGCTGAAAAGAATACAAAGAGTTTTTACCAGCTAGCCCATTCACTTAGTTTGCTATTCTTTCAACATCGATTCAACAAAAACTTCATTGAATTTTGCCTACAATCCGTGAATCAGGCATCTTCTATACTTTGCAGAGAGAAACCATTAGCAACACATATATGAAAAAGGCACAATTACAAATGCCTTGCGATCCACCAAAGTCACTACGTATGACTTGCCTCATCCTTTTATCTTTTCGAGACTGTGACTGTGGGTTCAAGTGTGTCTTCTTTCTTCACCCACACTCTTAAGAGTTGCGATATATCAACAATGATGATTGTTACAGAAAATAATTGGCTCAATTGTCTGCAGATAAATACACAAAATTCAAAATTGCGTCTCATTGTATAGTTTTCGACTTTTTTCTTGATACACACTCTCATCATTAGTATACAGACGAGTAAGATCGTTTTCTTTTCATTGGCCAATTGCTTCACCCGCTTCGCAACAGTAGGAAGAAGTGATTCTTTTACTTGCATTTCGCAAAAGTACCGAAGCAAACAATGTGAAAAATCGCACATTCCGCATGTGTCGACTGTTTATTATTGCATATAAGGGTATGAGTATGGATGAAGCATAAATCAAACACCCACATCTATGTTATACTCTCATCCCTTACCTACATCGTCACTCAGAGCTTCGCCCACCTCCTCCAGAGTTAAATCTAGACTTTAGGTGCCCATCGGAACATAAAAGTCGACGAGTCGATATATTTATTGGATGAATATGTTGCAATGCAGTTTCAGAAATACCGAAAAATACATTCAGTCTAAAGACTCATGCGATGACTCTATGCAAAAATCAGTTAAAACTAGAAGAACTTTTGTTTACTTAGAAATACCGTTAAGTTAATAAGCACACTTTCTACGATAGGAAGCATTATTTCGACCATTGCCACAGAAGTATCTCTAAGATTGCAATTGTATTTACGTTCAATCGCATTTCATCATCGTCTGGTAATAGACTTTTCGAATCAATTTCATGTTTTTTTCTCATATTTTCTAATGTTTCTTTTAGATTTTTCTGTCTAAAGAATGCTTCAGCCAAATTGTAGTAAATACATGCTAAATCAGGATGATTCGATGGAAGGAAATTCATTTGAGCTTTGAGAGTTTCTTTAAGATATTCAATTTGTTTATCACAGTCAGTAAGTAAAATGCGTACTTCAGAGAGATTGCTTGATAATATTGTGAAGAATGAGCGACTACACGTTTGATTGAATATTATAACTTCTAAAGATTTTTCAAATGAGGTTAGTGCTTCATTAAGTTTTCCTTGTCTATAATATGTAGTACCAAGTCGACTATAAGTCTTAGCTAATTCTTCACTATTGGATGGAAATGAAATTAATTGTACAGAAAGTGCTTTCTTGTAATAATCAGCAGCTTCACAATGGTTATTAAGTTGAGAAAAAACTTGCGCAATGTTATTATAAGAAGTTGCAATGTCTCGATGATTCGTAGAAAGATGTTGTATTCGAAATTCCAAAGATTTCTCTAACATATATAATGATTCTTGATATTTTCCTTGATGAACAAGTCCTAATCCGTAATCATTATAAACTGTGGCAATATCTGTGTAACTTAATGGTTGTGATTGTAAGTATATTTCAAGAGCTTTATTTAAATATTCTATTTGTTTGTTGTAGTTACTCTGATCATAATAAACTCCTGCAATACTTCCATAAGCGCTTGCAATGTCCGGATGAGAGTGCGGTAAACATGATATATAAATTTCTAAAGATTTTTCCATTGTGATCAGTGCTTCATTAAGTTTACCTTGTTTGTAGTATGCATTTCCAAGTTTCTCATAAGCTTTGCCTAAATCTTTTGAGTTTGACGACAAGGCAATCAGGTGTACTGAAAGCATTTTTTTTAAACATTCGACAGTTTCATCATTGTCACCGAGTTCAGCGTGAACTTTTGCGATGTGATCGTATGATTGCGCAATATCTATATCATTCACCGAGAGATATTCGATTCGAATATCGAGAGATTTTTGTAACATTATTAATGATTCCTGATGTTTACCTTGCTGGAAAAACACTACTCCAAAGCTGTTATATACGCTAGCAAGTTCTTTATAATTGGTTGGTTGCAAGTTTAGATATATTTCAAGAGCCTTGTTTAGATATTCTATTTGTTTATCATATAATCCATATTGATAATAAATTGCTGAACTAGTATAGTGATGTTTTGCAAGCTCATCTGGATTGTTGGCCAGTATTTGCGTAAAGATTTCTGATGATTTCTCATACATTTTTAACGCTTTTTCCTGTTTACCTTCGGCATTATATCCTAGATATAAGTTGAAGTAGGTTGCCACCATATCTGAATGATTTGGTGAAAGCGAATTTATTTGTATTTCAAGTGCTTTGCTAGCATATTCAATTGCTAGAGCGTGTTGATCTTGTGCAGCGTACGCTGTTGAAATATTGTTATAATATATTGCAAAGTGAGGATGATTAACAGGTACATGTTTGATTACAACTTGTAGAGCTTTATTGTACCAATCTAATGCTTCTTTAAATTTACCTTGTATATGGCAAACCATACCAAACTGATTAAAGGTGATTCCAAAAATTGGATGATCGTGCAAAAGTGAATTCTTTTGAATTTCGAGGATGGTATTTAAAAGTTCAGCTGCTCTAGTATAATCTCGAAGTTGTATCATAATATGTACGATATTATTATATGTTGATGCTAGTTGAGGGTGAGTTGAAGGTAAGACTTTTGTTAAAATTGATAGTGTTCTTTCGAGCATTTCTAATGCTTCATGTTGTCGATATTGTGTTGCATAAATAATTGCAATATTATTATAAACTGTTGCAGTTTGAATTTGATTGGCGTCAGTATTTTCTATTGCAACATTTAATGCTTTGTTATAATACAACAGAGCTGTTTGAAAGTCTCCACGTATGCGATAATGTTCGCCAAAATTATTATAAGCTGCTTGTAGCTGTTCGAGATCTGTTTCAGACGAATGTTCTATAAGGATTGCAATGCCTTTTTCTGAGTTTTCAATTGCTTTTGCTTCTTGATTCAAGTGACTGTATATCAAACCTAAATTATTATGAATACCAGCCCAAATACGCATGTCATCAATAGCTAGACGATCTTCGAGTAAAAGTAGATGATACTTTTCCGCGTTTTCATAATAGCCCATCTTCACCATTAACTTTGCTAAATTCAAAAGAGGATATGGTGTTATTATATCGTACTTCATATGTTCAGTTAATGCCTTTAGTTCTTCATCCTCATCACCGGTTAGTTTTAATTTGACATTCCATGTGTTTTCTGAATCTAATGTTACTGAGAGTATGCGATAGATAGCTCCCATCGTAAATAAAGTTTCGCATTCGACTTTCGCAAACACACTTTGTGCAGTTACATCTGCATAGAAAAATTTCTTAATACTATTGTCAATATCTATATGAAATAATACGTGTTGGGCGTCAGACTGCTGAACACTGCTACCACCACCAGCATATACACTTGCTAAGTTTTTAAACGGAGTTGTTGATAAAAAACTGCTTACTGAAAAGAAACCGCCTATATTGTATCTGATTTTCTTATCAAATTCATTGTTATCCATCAATTGACCTCGATATACAGTTTGAATTGATGATGGTTGATCTACTGATACACTTATCTGCTGTAATTTGTGTTGTTCTGTCAGCTGTAAATGAAGATCTTTGATAAAGTAACGTAATTTATAGAGAGTATCAATATCTACATCTCGCAAGGATTGATTTAGCATACGATAAAGAAATGTATCACGTGTGTACCAGAAGATAGCATTTGAAGATTCATAATAGTCTTCGAACTCTTCGATATAGTTTAACTGTGTTTTATCATCGGCGAATTTGTCACGACAAAAACTAATCATTTCTTCTTCAGTTGATTCAAATTCTATAAGAATTTCTCTAAGAAATGTTGAGTACATAAATTCTGCCTCTTGATATTTTGTGTTATCAGTTGATTTTATTGGAGATGACAGAGAATTAGAGATAGTAAAAGAAGGAATATATGTCGGAGGTAATGTATTGATGGTGAAAGGATTTTGAATAAATGCTTTCTGGCGTTTGTTTTGAAAGTATGGTAGTTGAAGTAATTTGTGGCATAGTGATTCTACATTTTTGTAAATTCCACGATACTTAGTTAATTTTTCAGCTAGCTGGCGATTATGTATCTCAGTTGAGCATAAAATATAGATCGAACCAATTTGATTAAGTTGTTCGCACAATTGTAGCAACATATCAGAAGGTTGATAGAATGTATCGTAGGTGACTAGTAGAATAACATTATTACCAAATTCTCCTAGATTACTGATATAATTAAGACATTTAAAGGAATCACGGAACGTAATCAGATTCGGATCAATGTTGCGAAAACATAAGTGTGTTGTACTATTAACATTGATACCGGACTGCTTGTACGTTTGATTAAGCCAAATCGTGCTGATGAAGTTCTGTGGCATTTTTTGATATTATCTAAAGTTACAAATAAAAATTTATTTCTTTTCTTTACGATAACTTTTTTATTCTAACTATATTTTTCAGTGATAAATAGCAGTTTGGTTTTTTCCAAGTAATAGAACTTTGAATGAATAATAAATAAGGTGTCGCTTTCTTATTTTCTTTAAAGAAAAAAAAATTGCAGAACAGAAGAAAAAACAATCTTTTTCAACATCAAGAGAAAAAGCGAAGAATGTAATAGGATACCTATGCAAACGTTTTTTTCCCATTTAGTTTATTGTGTCATAAATAAGATTCACATGTATAAAAAGAGAGGAGAAATAATACGAATTACAAGAAATAAACGTGTGGGAGAAGTAAAATGAAGAGAAGAAAGGAAAACAAGAGGGTGAGGGTGTAAATGTAGGTGCGGGTGTGGGTTGGTGTGGATGAGGGTGAGGGTGTAGATGGGTGTGAGCGTGAGTGTGGGTGAGTGTGTTAGATTGCGACGGTTCTAAAAAAAATGGAACCGAAAACCGAGTCAGAGTCGAACCGAAACCGCTCTTTTCTCATTTCTACTAATCGGAGCCGAACCAGAACCTCAGTTCCGATTCCAGTTTCGGGTAAATTTTGGAACCGCAGTACTTTAGAGGGTGTGGGTGTGGGTATGGATACTGCTTCTACTTAGCGTCCACACTCACTCCCAACAAGAACAGTCTATCGTTGTGCCGCTTTACTTTCGTATACAATCATGAAAATGATAAACTATTGCAGACGGATTCACCCATCTTGAGGGTGAGTGTGGGTGAATGAAATGAATGGCCGGAATGATGCCACCTATACCCTAACTTTTCCTATCATTAAAAATAGTATAAGATATTTATTTTTGAATAAACCATAATAGATCAGTTCATGGCGATTCATTAGTGCTCTAAAAAGAGGTTTCACTGTATATAGAAATTAATAAAAAAAAAAGTGTTTTTTTTAGATCTTTCTTCTTTCCATCAATCAATGACCAATCCAGAGACATAGACATTTGTTTTTCTCTGAGATTAATCGAGTATGAGAGGTGAAATTCTTTAATCTTGGAACATTTTTCATAAGCCACAACGAGAGTTCTTCACTATTCATCGATATTTCACTTGAATTGTATTCTATTTTCATACTATCTAATTTCAACATTTCATTTAACAGTATTAAAATCTCATCCATAGAAGTTACACATATACTTAACTTCTCTAAGTTTGTTGCAAATATTTTATTGAGACTCTCCATAGATTTATCTTTGTTCGGCATTGTATTTAATAAATTTAAACATTTGATTTGTTTACTCAATAATAAACATACTTGTTGATGAGTAAAATTCTTTGTTATATCTGCGAGTATTTGCCAAGATAATTCCAATGATCGAAGTTGTGTAGAATGTTCTAATATATATGAGAAAAATTCTTCTGCAAGTATAGTATTATGTGGTTCAATAGTTAAATGTTTAATTTGTGATAAATTAATGAAATTATCAAGTGGAATTAATTTATGTAAATTACGAATAGTTAATGAATCCAGATTAGAAAAATAATAATATTTTACAAAATTCGAATTGTAAGCAGAATTAATGGAAAAATATAAATTTTTTATTGTGTAATAATCGATTTTGGAAACTTTTGTTTCTGTTTATGTTGATGAACATAAATGGAATTGTTGGTCACTGTACGGCAACGTATACAAATGAACATTGTGCACTCTACGATGAGCACTATTTGGAAGGATAAAATGATCACAATGAATTCTCCATTGATTTTCTTTTAACCAAAATGGAGTTTGAAATGTTGCTAATACATGTTTTACATTGATATTTTCTAAATTCGGATGAATTTTAAAATGAAATTTTTTTAATTGTGGTAAATATGTTCGAATAAGTTGTTCCCATTGATCACCATGAATAAATCTAAATCCTTTTACTGCAATAAAAGTAAATTTTTTTAATTTCGGCATACAAATAAGCAACTGTTCTATATCATAAAATGTTATATTCGATTTTTCGATCAATTTTATTTTTAATTGGCGAATTTCTGTTTTTACTGTTGTTGAAAGAAAATTACTGCTAACCGTAATAGTATCCGCATATAATTGAACATCTAAACTACTTAATGTTGATGTATACGATAATAATTCTTGCAATTGACTTATTGAAAAAATACCAACGGATAAATGTTTTAATGATAATTGTGATATTTTAGATATTAGATGATGTGCAGGTTTTACCAATGGCGATTGTATTGATGGAATTATTGTTCTATCTCCAGATTGAATTGATAAATAAGATAGATTTGGTAGATGAGATAATTTTGGGAGGAGTTTATTCGAATCTTGTTCAGTAATTTCGATTAATGTTAAAGATTCAAGATTAACACATTGTCGAATATAGAATAAATTAAAAAATAAATGGATTTGCCGACATGTGCCATCGGCATCGGATATTATTAATGATCGAATTTGTTCAGAAGAAATCGATTGACAAACAAAATCGAATTTCCATTTTGGACACGATATAAAATTAAGATCATACTTCTTATATTTGCTTAAAAATGCATCAATTCGTTTGTTTAATCCTTTAAATGCGTATAATATATCGTATGTTGTTAAATATTCGAAGACTTCATAGAATAATTCATTCGGCAATAGATGAAACATCGTGAATCGCTGCGACATCTAGAACATAATTAGATTTAATTAAAAACATGAAACTAACATGTTTTCATATGTGATATAATATATGGTTGATAAGTGTAAAGAAAACCGAATCAATGCATATCATATAAAGAATGATATTATAAAAATCAGTTTATTTGTAATAGGTTACTAGAAATCATCAATGTTTACAGTAATTTTCATAGATAATAAATTCCAGTCATATAAAGACTGTGCTTTAATTTCATAATCTATGTGAAACGACATACACCACATTGTATTATTGAGCATAATAGTCATCACAGGTTTTTCATTCGGTTTCTAATACAAATCAACAATTAAAACGATAGATGGCACATATAGCCATGATAGAATGTTTGAAAATAGTCTACGAACTGCTTTTCAACGCAATTTGATATTTTTCATTGATAGTATTCAATACAAATCTTCTAATCTTTGAACTGTACTAACTAATTATAACTCAAATAGCATCTGTCGATATGACAAAGTATAGAGGCCTCAAAACTAATCATTGTATAATCTTCATACTTACTCATATTTACCAAGGAAGTGAAAAACGGATCTTCGTGAACCTTAAACTGATTCATTCGATGACAATAAAGTTCACTACAAATAACTAGAATTCACATAAATCTATTCATATCTATCATAATGAACACAAGATAGAATTATTAATATCTCCAAAAATCTGTTGGAATTTACTTGAATCGAATTAATTCTGATGGGTTCAATTACATTCATTTTTTCCCTTGACAATCGCTATCGTTATTTTATGTTTTACTACAAAATATGTTTGTTTTTGGAAAAACAAATAACTATTTACAGTAGGATGCCATGAGTTTCACCTATGTATAAAATGAGTAGAATAATAATGTTTGAACATTAAAAATTAGATTAAAAAGCATGCTTTTTCTGTAAATGACATGTTTCAATGTTTAATATTATAAATTACAGTTTATATGACATATTCCTTTGTGTAAAACAAGATAAAAATGCTGTTTTTTTAATACCATGGAACAAATTATATAAATTTTGTAATTAAAACTTTTCACTCAAGTGTAAAAAGCGTGCACGGAGTATTTATATCATCTATTCTCGTGTTCAAAATAAGCTATACTAACGCTAACGATCTACTTCAATTTAATCTAGAATAAATAATTTGAAACTGAAATAGTTAACAACGTGAGATTATTGTATATGTAAACAAAGAATACGTCGTTCTTGATCAGAGTAATGAGTATATCGAACTTAGAGCAATATCATTCGTTTTTATAAGAAATTAAATTATTATTTTATTGAAAGATCACAACATAATATACAAACTAAAAGAATTCATCGAATAAATTCACTAAACAAAGATACAACATATATGAATAAAGTCATATGTTATTATTAATTAATATTGTAAAGTTCAGTTAAGTGGTAGGATGAACTACTCGTTGTCGTCGATAATTACAACAAAATAATTGCTTAATTTTTGTTTTAAAATCAGGCAATGTAGTACAAGCAGCAAATGGTACAAGAAATATCATATAAAACAAGAAAACACCTGAATAATAAGCCAATGCTGGTGCAAATGTTCTGGACAATCCAAAAGTATAGGCCGCGCTGATCAATGTATATGGTATAAAGAATATGAAGTAGATCAATGAAATAGATATTAATTGAATAATCATTTTTCTTTGTTTTTTCCAATTAATTGATCGATGTAAACGATGTTTTTGTAAGAGAACACGGATAAGAAGAGCAAGACTGAAGATAATAATTATAACTGTAGGAATGATTTGATTCACTATCCAGTCCCATTTTGCAATGAATGGAATAAACTTGTATATGCAAGGATTACCGGTTACACCATAAAGATGAGTATTGTCAAAAGTAAATGAACAAAGTGGAAAAAAAATGATAACTCCATAGTAGACCATACCATATGTAATAATTATGATTATAGGAAGATAATGAACAAAAAATCGTTTCTTTTTTGTTGATAACCATCCACTATGAAAAATAAGAATATGTCTTTCAATTGTAGCCCAAGCAAATAACATTACTTGTGTTATTTCAAATGCAAAATCTATATACATCCATATAAGTGCAAAAGCGGGTGTTGAAAATAATGCAAAGTGAAAATGATAATAATGAATAAGCCAGAAAACATCTGTCAATTCATATATAAGACCAATAATGATTAAAATAATTATAACATGATTATTAAGAGCTTGACGAAGTGTTCGTTTGAATAAAAAATGATAAAGAACAAATATACTGCAGCATATTGATAAAACATTAGGAATAAGATAAATCCAAACTCGAGCAGTACTGGAAAATTTAAGAAAGCTAGAAGTCGTGGTTGTTACGATTGTAATATTACTTACATTGGACATTTTTGTTAGTATAAAACTAATGAATAAATAGAATGAAGATTAAATAAAAAATGAAACATAAAAATAAAAACTTTTCTTGTTCCTACGGTTAACTCGTGTGACATCAAATATATCTTCTACTTGTAATTATCCTATCGTTATTTATAAAGTTGCTACAACGCATTAGCAGAGGAAGAATTTAATGTAAGTCGTCATAGAGAAAAAAACAAGCATCTCATTATTATCAGAAGGCTTATTTTGTATATACTTCTTCTAAATAAATGAGGCGAACTTGAATTTGAATGACGTAGCAATTCATTTATATTACATGATATTTTATCTATTTGTCAGAATTGGACGCATTTGAAAATATTAAAAAATCTATGATTCAAAAGAATGAATTGTCACATTAGATTATCCTTGTTGGAGTTGTGTTGTTGTTACACACTCAATCAGATACTTGTCTTTGTTGTAATTATGAAATAAATGCTTGAATTTTCTACAGAGACAGAAATGAAGTTATAGAAGATAGTTTCAAAGTATCATGCGACAGATTTTTATAGAAACTGAAAAGAAAAAAGAAGTCTTTTTTTTATGAATGAGAAGAGAAAAACAATTTGACTCAGTTATTTAAATGCGCTAGTGAATTAAAAAGAATTATTCTAATGCGTTTTTTCTAATAATATTTCAGTAATTTTATTATCTTAATAGTATAATGAAAATCGTATTTGCTTGATAAAGTCCCTTTAATGTATATATAATAGCTGCTAGTTAGTGACTATCTTCTTTAAATTGCAATTCAATGGTTTCAACGACCATGTAGATAATCGTGCAAATGCAAGACATACATGCCATTACTGAGAATCATCTAAACAAGCAAAGAAATAATTCTAAAAAATAATCCACATGTTATATTTATACTAAAGCCGGCGACACATTAGAAGACCCCCCTTAAATAAATGGTGTAAAAAACATATTAGAAGGCCTCCCTCTAATGGCTGATTTTTGAGTTTATCTATTCTGTTAGTACTCGCTATTTCTTTACATATGTTTCTTAACTTCGCTCCACAAGTATATTTTTTGTGTTCTTTTTTAATGTTCAAAGTTGTCTGTCATTGAACAGCACAAAATTTAATTAATAGAAATATATATGGCATACGAATAACAATGTATGTTTTGATTACTTTCAATTCTTTTTCATTTACATTGTATGAAATGATATTACTTTATGATCGACTTGTTTTTTTATGTGATTATTTTATAAACGATTTATTTTATCCTGTGAAAAATACTCCTATATTTAAATGTTAACTAATCATATTTTATGTGACTTTGCACATTTAATAAATAAAATGCTAGTTTCATGAAATGTTCTTTTATTATAGTATTGACTTTACTTGACTGTAATACTGTCAAAAAGTTTAATAATCTTTTAAAAACAGTACAGAGAACGTTAAAAAACCTATAAAAAAACCATATAGTTGAGAGTAGCAAGAAAATATATTCTTTTTTTAGGGACATAATACAAGACCCCCCTTGAAACTTGTAAACGCTATGACAGATTAGAAGACCCGGGGTCTTCTAATGTGACCCCGGCTTTATACTATCATGGACATAATAGATAAAATCATTGAAAAAATCATTGATTTTAAAAGTGAATGTGGATGCAACAAGTATATCTAAAGAAAAACCACTTGTGTTTTTAAAGATATCGATTTCATAAAAATTAATTTTGCCATATAATTTTAAAGCAATAAATATAATTTGATATGTGAACGATCGTTTCAGAAAAAGTATGAAAGTGGAGGATATTATTTTATGTTAAAAAGGTATTGTAATATTACGAATGTATTGGCATTTTGAAGTAGAAACAAAGGGCTCAACAGGACTTTAGATGATTTATTTGTAGTTGTTCACACAAGCCTAATAACAAATTAATAGTATGCGATGAGAAAGTAGTTGATCCAATCAGACGATTGTGTTGGAGAGAACAAAACTTTATACAAAAGCAGATAGACTATTACTTTTTTAGTGTGATTCTTTTTTAGAAACGTATACGTGAACAAAAATTGAGGTTATTTAACAATTGTGATGTGGGTGAACGATAAATTAAACGTCCACAGTCTCACTCACAGCCTCAATAAGAATAAATTGAGAGCTTATAATAAGTATTGTTGCTATATTACATTATCGTCTACTGTATATAACTACACAATGCATTCGTTTGCTTTTGTTCAGGAAGAACAAGAAATGAAAGAGAAAGTCCTCCAGAATTATGGAGAAAATTCTTTAAAACCAGAGAACGTTTGCTTGTTGTGAGAAAACGGCTGCTGTCTTTCGAAATCATAGTAAATGCTGTGTACATATTAAAGTCAGTTGATTATCTATGAGATCTTCAAATAAAGCTTCCTCTTTCGAAGAAACTATTAAAGCTCAGACAAAAAGCAGTCAGTAGAAAATTTTCAGGGAGAAAGTCAGAATGCAAGAAAAAAATTTGGGATGGAAATTCCTTCGCTAAGGACGGGTGTGGGTGATGAATGAGAAGAATACACACGTCCATCTCACA